AACATCGAATTTCTTCGTCTATATGTACAAGAAAAAATATTCTAATTATAACTTTAATTTTTGAAGGAGTGGACCAGTAAGCCAGCGGAAGGCCTCGGTCAGATGACCGAAAGTTCCAGCGGCGGGTCATCATATAACTAAGACCCACGTCAGGAAACACTTGTGCTAACTCATCCTTTATCTATATTTCCAACTCCACAAGACCTAAACTAAGGGTTCCATCATTTATTTAACAAGCAATACTCTGTTTCATCTCATTTCATGTGTACTTTAATACTGAACCACATTCGTACAGGAACATGGGGAGGCTGAAGCCATAGATGAGTCAATATTTACAGTATGAGGACAATGAGTCAGTCGAGGAAGAATGATCACTGATGAAATGATGTCCTTAATAAGTGTACTGCCAGTGTGGAGCTGTTGATAATTGCCCGTCTTGTGGTTTAAGAGGCACGTAAGTTCCCCCGTCTTCTAATAACAAGTTCATTTTTTCCAATATAATCTACCTTGTCCAAATGTGATAGTAATTATGGACAGGGTAGAACCTAGAAAACCTAAAATGAAAGAAAATCGGCCTGTTCTTTGATCTCCTTTCTGGAGGCACAATGGTAGGTGTTTTAAAAATTAAAAAACAACTTCATATGATCCTGGTGTTTAGTGCGTGTGCGCGAGCTCGCGTGCTCCGGCGCGTGCCCGCCACCAGGTCAACATGTGACCTGGAACTCAGTAAGTGCTTAAAGACCTGACCCAAATACACTTTGTTGTATGACTCTCTATATCAATCATTTTACTGTGTACTTAACGAGCACTTGAGTTTGATTTCTTTAACCCTTTCTTCTCTCTCTCTCTCTCTCCTCTCTCCTCTCTCTCTCTCTCCCTCCCTATCTTCCTATCTCTATTATTACCCATAACCCCCCTTTCTGCCTATCCACATTATACCTAACCAGTCCCCTTTACATGTTCCATTCCTTTCCAACCCACTTCTACCTATTCCCATCCTCTCCAACTCTGTTTACCTGCCCCACTCGTCCCCAACCCACGGCTGCCTATCCCTATCCTCCGCCTGCCTATCTCCCCCCACTTGCACACTCATTGATGCTTATCATCAGTTCCTTGTTTCATCAGCAATGTTGCATACGCAACATATAAACACCAGCCGTGACACAGAAGGTCGTCTTCCAAGAGTCTTGATCGTGTGTCAGTTGAGCGGATACTTTATCTGCATTTTTTTTGTCCTCTGTCGCGTTTTCTATGCAATTTCCAGTTCTTCTTTTTCACAGATTATTTTATTTTCTCATTTCATGTCATTTTGTTCATATTGTTCTACTGGAAGTGGGGGAAAAAGTTGTCAAGGCGAACTAGTTGATGGATAAGACTCATGTACAATGTTTGGGTCCCTCTACGGCCGAAACGTTTCGTCTGCGCAGAAGGCTTTTTCAGTGCAACACTGAGGTAGATTTTTGAACATGGTTGAGTGGAAGAAATGAAGAGGTAATTTAGAGCCATTCAGTCCCTTAACCTTAAAAAGTTATAAGGGATTAAACACCTCAAAATTTATTGTCCACTTCTTCCACTGTCTCTAAAAGTGACTGAAGATGCCTGCTGTGCAGGCGAAAAGTTTCGACAATAGAGACATCCAAGTATCATGTGGGAGTTCGACGGTTGGTAGTGAGTCAACTACTGGTACTGATTACTGTTAACTGGTTACTACTACTGAGACAAGTGTTGCACATGTGTCTTATTCATCAATGCTATAAAGGGTAAGATGGTTACTCATTCTGCAGCCATTCAAGCTATACGTATGAGTTGCCACAGATTCGGGTCTGGAATCACTACCACACCAGTCGGTACACAGCGTTTGTCTCACAACCAAAAGTGCCTGGGTCGAGCCCTGGGCGAGGAGGAGCAGCTCTTTGTACCTAGCAGTAAAGAGATACCACTGAGTCAAGTGTTGTGGGTCGTATGCAGTGGATGGACGTAAAGATGATCCCAGTGGAAATAAGCCACAACGTTTGGTTTTCTTGGGGCTATCCTGGGTTATTAACCCTCCAGGGTTACCAGTCCGAGTAAAGCTGCCTCCTTTATGCATTTTTATTGTCTTGTAGACTAGTACAATTCGGCTTGTCAGGTAACTCCCTCTAAAGGGCCCGGTGGCCTGGTGGCTAAAGCTCCCGCTTCACACACGGAGGGCCCGGGTTCGATTCCCGGCGGGTGGAAACATTTCGACACGTTTCCTTACACCTGTTGTTGGGTGTTAGTCGACTGGTGTGGGTCGCATCCTGGGGGACAAGATTAAGGACCACAATGGAAATAAGTTAGACAGTCCTCGATGACGCACTGACTTTCTTGGGTTATCCTGGGTGGCTAACCCTCCGGGGTTAAAAATCCGAACGAAATCTTATCTTATCTTAATATGTGGAAAAACACTCTTTGTACAGTCCAGGACATTTATTAAAGAAAATGTTTTGCCAGGGGTGACTTAGTTTCTTGAATAAATCCCCAGAACTATGCATAATTATCTTCTGCCACATCATTATGTATCATCAGGCTATTTACTCTCAGGACACTGTATCATGATACATCACTACACACCGACCAGCTCTCTCGTTCATATTACTCAAAATACATTCACGTTCCACGTTCATTCACTTCATTTATGATGAAGAACAAAAAGGAACAATACTGTGACTGGAACAATACCGTGACTGGAACAATACCGTGACTGGAACAATACCGTGACTGGAACGATATACAAAGGAGAAAGAAACTTCTGCCCGAAATGCCTCGGCATGATAGTGACTTTCTGTGTACTTAGCAAATCAAAATTATCATCACACATTATAAACATTGCAAAGAAATTAATAAATCTTTAATCTTTAAATCCTAATCTTTAATCTCTTTCGGTCCAACTCGGTCCATTAACTAGTGTTGGCTAGTTAATGGTCTGAGTTGGACCGATTGTTTCATTACTGATCCCACACAGGTTTGATTCAGTGAAGGGAAGGATAGCACCAGTTCCTAGGATTATTACTAGGACATTCACCTAGCTACCTGACGCAAAATCTTCTTTTTTTTTTGTAATGCATCAACATATTTCCGAAACACATTTTTCCGACCCGGGTTCAATTTTTGGCGAGCGGAAGCTGTGATTGGACTGGTTTTGAAATGAGCTGGAGTTGAATAGCAATTCTTGGCTTGTAAACTCAATGGTTTAATAGAAAAAACATGTGCGTAATAAATACAGGCAGGTATTATTCTTGATAAACCATCAGAGTAAGTATTCCTTCAACTGAAGACAGATATTTGATCCAAGTCAGACCGAAACGTTGTGGTAGGTTTCTCCTATGTGCTGTTTGTGTATAGAGATTTGGTAGTTGTTTGTTTAGTGTGTATAGGAAAAAGAGTGAAAATGCATAAGAATTGGTGCAGAGTGTACGTGAACTTTCTAAAAAAAGCGAGAAAGGGACGAGAGAATGTGAACAATTTATAAGGGAAAGTTCAGTTGGTGGAGCTGGAGGCTCGATCCTCCGACCCCCTAAACGGAGTGGTGTTTCAACTCGGCCACGGCGGCATGGCATATATCACCAACCTTACACAAATAACCCGCACATAAAAGAGAGAAGCTTACGACGACGTTTCGGTTCGACTTGGACCCTTGACAAAGTCAAGGGTCCAAGTCGAACCGAAACGTCGTCGTAAGCTTCTCTCTTTTATGTGCGGGTTATTTGTGTATCGTTCCAGTCACGGTATTGTGCCTTTTTGTTATTTAGTACCAACCTATCTGAAAATGTAAAGTAAAAGGACACAAGTGCAACTAATGTGACATTTTATTGTGGCAACGTTTCGCTCTCCAGGAGCTTTATCAAGCTCCTGGAGAGCGAAACGTTGCCACAATAAAATGTCACATTAGTTGCACATGTGTCCTTTTACTTTACATATTGTCGGTAATTCTACCAACTTTATTACTATCTGAAAATAGCGCAGCAGTACAAGCAAGACTTGAATACCTTCAAAATACTGAAAAGAAACATGGTATTGACAGCCCTGTAAACACAATCTCCCGGTCTCTTACCCGTTATCTCAGCTGCGTAAAGCGAGACCTCAACGCACCTCTTTGGGGAGCTTCATGTAACACGATGGACGAGTGTTATTAAAGTGAATCCTCTCGTATGTCCCTCTTCTGCATAGCGATTGAGGAAACCACTAGCAAACCAGCGAGATAAAATCTGGTTCCTGGATGACTGGCAGTCAGAGAGGCATCCCATGAGCAGATCAGGTGATGGCACAGGGATAGCCTCTGGGAGTCGTTCCTAATCTCAGGTGCGAAGCAAGCGGTTAACTAGCAAGCAGTGAAGGTAGTGAGCTTTCCACTAGCACGTGTCTCAATCATTTCCCCACTAATAGCATCCTGCATCAAGCCCCTGTAGGATCTAATACCCTGTAGGATCTATCTTAAGCTGCACTTGTTTATCTGAGAGTAAATTCTGATTCTATCACTATGATGCTAGTGCCTCTATATATCTAAACACACACACTAATAAATGAAAGTCCTGCACAAGCAATTATGAGCAATAAGAGAAATAACCTAATCGATCAGTCATTTAGCTTTGTCAGACAGTCAGCTTTGTAGCTCCATCCAGTCAAACGTTGAAATCGACCCGATCATAAACTGATCATTGAGAAGGCTGTCACTACTGTTTATTATATACCCAGTTTACACTCACCAGCCTGACTGTGTATAGCCTGAGTATAGTACACTCACCTGAGGGACAGTTCCTAGCACATCTTTTTGAGTTTTGCCTCCTAGCATACCTCCTTGACTGTCTGTATCTTCCAGAATATCTCCCTGACAGTCTGTGTCTCCAGCATATCTCCCTGACAGTCTGTCTCCCACCCAGTCTGTATCTCCTAGCATATCTCTCCGCCTTCTAATCAACTCTCTCTCACATACACAAACACACTTTGTAGAGCGTTTTGTAAGGGTGTCCTTAAGCACTCACCTTTGAGTGTGTCGCGTGGTGGACACTGTCACTCCTACAAGCACTCTGAAGAGGCACTCACCTGCCTGAGTGCATGGCAATAATTCACGTCGTCTTTCAAACACAGTCAGAATCACTCTTCCTCCCTGAGTGTCTCTGCAAAGTGTCTCATACACGCACACACTTCTCACAGTCCCTGACAGTGTCACTCACCGTATATAACAAACTTCTTGCAACGTTTAAAACTTGGCGGTTCCAGTGAGACTAACTCGCGTTTAAGCTAGTCCAAGCTTCATGTAGCACGAACGTGTGGCCAGACACACTCACTCTTTCTTCCCTCTTCTGAACATTCCCATTAGTCTTCGTCTCAAGAAGGTCCCCAGCGCCTGCGCTCAACTCCGGCTCAACACGGTTTTCAACTTGACTACCTCCTAAGGAAACATAAATAGTTATATGTGTCATTGATATAAAACCCCATTGTTGAGAGAGAACTGAGTATTCTCGGTTCAAAGATGGATCAAATGCATTAGAGGTTATCAAGGCAGTTTCCTTGAGAGTCGCTCGAGAGCCTGTCTGAGAGTAGTCTACTGGTGGCACCATGAACGCAGATTTCAGAATGCATCATCTTGGTAGTGCAGGCACTCACAACAGAGGCGATCCGTTCTCAAATCTGTACCTCTGATTTTGGTATCAGCGAGTGGTACCAGTTGCTTCCGTAACATGGAGTGGGAATATCGCCACACAGATCTCACTGACTCACCTCATGACAAAAATAGGACTGTGATCGTTAAGTGTTGCTAAAAGAGTGAATAATTTTTACGCATAATTGTTTAAAAGAAAACAAGGGCATGCAGTTATTAATTTATAAAGAGAATGAGGCCATAGGCTATACATTCTTATCCTTGTCAATACATTATCATGACATCCAAGGTGACAGGTGTACCAGTACAGTTCAATATTATTACTTAACAATACCCCCCATATATACCCTGGAAAATTTGGCAAGACTTGTGACTTCTTTTATTAAGAGACAAATCCTCTCATTCAACGGAGAGCCAATCAAATCTCAGGCCGTGAGCTGAATGCACGCTCATTGGCCCAACAGTTTCCACACACTGACCACTCAGAGAAGCTCCACTTTCTCACCTCTGAGGACACACAAAAACTAGATTGAATAATTTGGTTGTTAATTACGGCTTCCGGATAACTTTTAAACTTCATTCATTCTGCCAGAATATATTTATTACGGCTGCCTGACCTTAAAAGGGAAGCAACAGGTGTAACTTAGCGATCATTGTCGCTGTCTGAAAAGACTTAATTTAGAACGGTTTTTTCTTATAATTCATGGGATAAGTTTTTCTTAAATGCAATCTAAGCAACGTAGTCTGTTAATATGGCATTAATTCCTCTATTAATATATTCCATTTAGTTATATTTAATTATATATATATATATATATATATATATATATATATATATATATATATATATATATATTTATATATATAATATAAATATATATATTAACATATATATATAAAATTTATATATATTAAATATATATTATATATATAGATTAATATAATAATACATGATCATATATAAAGTACCCATATTATATATAATGTACCATAATATATATTATATGAAAATCATATTATCATACAGGATTATAATCGACTATTTAAATTAATATATATATATATAATAATAATTATTAATATAAATTATATATATCATTATATATATATATTTTCATATATTATATATATTATCTATATTATATGAAACAACCACTCTGAAAGAATAAGAAATTCCAAGCGCTTTCGTGCTACTCACATTATCAAGTTCCTTGATAATGTGAGTAGCCGAAAGCGCTTGGATTTCTCTATTTATCAGAGTGGTTGTTTTGCAATTTTTAAATCCCTGTTTACTGTGATCTTATTGCATATTTATATATATATATATATAATACTTATTATATATAATATATATATATATATTTCTACAAGTATTACAAGGTATACAGACCATAGCTGACATCATTGACATGCTACTATATAGAAAGCCGCTTGTTATACTGAGCTTTTCAGGCAAATTAGGTCAGTTTTGTCCCAGGAGGCGACTCGCACCAGTCCATTAACACCCAGGTACCCATTTTTATGTTGATGGGTGACCATGGACAGCAGGTGTCATATTGAAACACGTCCCTAATGTTTTCCAGCCGTACCGGGGATTCGAACTCCGGACCTCAGTGTGTGATCTGAGTGCGCTACCCATCGAGCTATAAAAAATTTCGTGTTACATCAAATTATCATCCAATCATCATTATAATCATCATCTTTGCCATTATTATCATCATGGAGTTATCTCTCACTTTTTCTCACGATCCCTCCTGATCCCTGCCCTGTCACCCTGCCCTTCGCTTTCCCTTCGCTCTCCCTTGTTCATAACACCTTGCCTTAAAGCTTTCCCCCTCTGTCCACCACACAACTCGTGTGCACTCAATATTGCATAGTGGCACTACCGTCCACGCAACCTCGACACTTCCTAGTTGTACAGATACACGCCAAGCACCTCTACCACAGCCCACCTAGAGCTGCAATTCCATACACACACCCCACCTCCTACCACACTCACCACCATACCACCCCACCTCCACAACACAACCACCACCCACCAGCACCCACCACCACACCACACCACCACCACCACACCACCACCACCACCCACCACCACCACCCACACCACCACCACCACCACCACCCACCACCACCACCCACCACCCCACCAACCACCACCACAAACCACACCAACTCACACCAACATCACCACCAACAATGCCACCACCACCACCACACCACCACCACCACCCCACCACCATCACCACACCAACACCACCACCACCACCAACACCCCCCACCACCATCCACCGCCATCTACCGTTCACACAAACTTGGAGTCATCACAGTAAATCATTGGGAACCCCACCGCATTATGTTACTCCGAAAGCAATGGACATATAGCAGCAAGGCAACACAGCTAATACGAGGAACTAGCGCCGGATCTGTTGGTTCTAATACGGTCATCTAACATCTTAATCTTCTCTCCAGCATCGTACTAAGCATGGCCCGTGATAATATAATAATTGCAGTGATATTAACTGCAAATCATTTGTCAATTTCCTCCCATTTCCCCCCCGAAAAAAGCTTTTTAAAAAATAAGCCAGAAGGGCCATCATTCTTTGCCGAGGGAAAATGATTATAGGCTGCCGGAGGGGTAATTGTTTCAAGGATTCGTGAATTTTAATTATCAAATGGTATACAATACCGACAGGTTGGTAGATAAGACACATAGGCAACAGTTAGGCAACTTTATTCGGAATTATGTTGCCTATGTGTCTTATCTACCAACCGATTCGTGAATTTTAAATGTCCAAATATTTGGATGGAGGCAGCTTTTAAAAAATAAAAAGTAATATGAAATTTGGAAGAAAGCTCTGTTAGTTACCCAGGGGAAGCCTGAGGTCTTGGCTGCCTCGCCCGCCCTCTGGATCCCAGGGGAAGCCTGAGGTCTTGGCTGCCTCGCCCGCCCTCTGGATCCCAGGGAAAGACTGAGGTCTTTGCTGCCTCGCCCGCCCTCTGGATACCAGGGGAAGCCTGAGGTCTTGGCTGCCTCGCCCGCCCTCTGGATCCCAGGGGAAGACTGAGGTCTTTGCTGCCTCGCCCGCCCTCTGGATCCCAGGGAAAGACTGAGGTCTTGGCTGCCTCGCCCGTCCTCTGGATCCCAGGGGAAGCCTGAGGTCTTGGCTGCCTCGCCCGCCCTCTGGATCCCAGGGAAAGACTGAGGTCTTGGCTGCCTCGCCCGTCCTCTAGATCCCAGGGGAAGCCTGAGGTCTTGGCTGTCTCGCCCGCCCTCTGGATCCCAGGGAAAGACTGAGGTCTTGGCTGCTCGCCCGTCCTCTAGTCCCAGGGAAGCCCTGATCTTTGCTGCCTCGCCGCGCCCTCTGGTCCCAGGATAGAGAGGCTTTGCTGCCTCGCCCGCCCTCGATCCCAGGGAAAAGTGAGGTCTTGGCTGCCTCGACTGTCCCCTGGATCCCGGGAAAACTGAGCTGGGTCTTGGCTGCCTTCGCCCGTCCCCTGGATCCCAGGGAAAGACTGAGGTCTTGGCTGCCTCGCCCGTCCTCTAGATCCCAGGGGAAGCCTGAGGTCTTGGCTGTCTCGACTGTCCCCTGGATCCCAGGGAAAGACTGAGGTCTTGGTTGCTTCGCCCGTCCCCTGGATCCCAGGGAAAGACTGAGGTCTTGGCTGCCTCGACTGTCCCCTGGATCCCAGGGGAAGACTGAGGTCTTGGCTGCCTCGCCCGTCCCCTGGATCCCAGGGGAAGACTGAGGTCTTGGACCCTTGCCCAGCCCGTCCTCTAGATCCCCTGGGGAAGCCTGAGGTCTTGGCTGCCTCGCCCGTCCCCTGGATCCCAGGGGATGACTGAGGTCTTGGCTGCCTCGCCCGTCCCCTGGATCCCAGGGGAAGCCTGAGGTCTTGGCTGCCTCGCCCGTCCCTGGATCCCAGGGGAAGACTGAGGTCTTGGCTGCCTCGCCCGTCCTCTGGATCCCCTCTCAGACGTTTCCTTACGTATTCCATTTGATAGTAACATTGGGATGGTCAGTCATAATAGTATTTCCTGCCGTCCGAAGAGTTAAGGAAGCTATCAGTGTAGATAATTTACCTGGTGTTATTTTTAATGGTCGATGTTATTTTTCTGATATTTTTTTGTTTAATGTTTTTAGTCAGATGTTATTTTTTCCTTGTCATTTTCTCTGATGTTATTTGTCTGATGTTATTTTTTTGTCTGTATTCCAGAGCACTAAATTTAGAATTTTTTTGATGTGAATTGTGCTGGATTATTTTTTTGTGATGGTTGATGGGTATGATGACATAAAAATCTGTTATCTGCCAGAAATGAAGGAAATAAAATATTCTCCAAGCCTGATACAGCTCATGTAATCCAGATATTTTTATGCATGTGACCTTTATTGGAACCCATTTTGATTCACTTGTCCCATGACTTATGATTCCTCTCAGCGCAGCCCCTAGGATCTCTTGGGATCCCTCTCAGTAGAATCGTCAGTAGGATCCTAGAGATCCGTCACATCCACTGCACCTCTGTCAGGAGTGCCATGCAAACATAGTGGACACTGCCAGGGAAAGCATCAAGAACGTTGAATCTGCAGATCAGTCATACACTGCTGTGACTGGTGAGGCGCATTCTTGCTTATATCTGAT